CATACCAGATTCCATTTTCAGCACTCATCAAGAACATACTTTTGAATACTCGAAGGTGGCTCATTGTCATAAGCTTCAAGAGCCTTACAGATCCTTTCTGTCAATTTGGCACTTCCTGTACATGTTTATAAACAGTTCAACTTTATTCTTGGATCCCATGAAAGCCATCATTTCTTTGTCAATGGAAAAGCATCAGCACATGGATGAAGCAGAATAAGAGAAAATCTGTTCTTAATTGGCAGAATTATGAATATAGCCCTTTTTAGTGTAGCAGCATGGAAATGCTTCGAATCTACAAATTCTGGCTCTACATCAAATAAGTATTGTGATATCCTAGTCCAAACATTAACTGAAAGGGACTCAATAGCATCTTCTGGAAGTGTTCTTTGAGTTATCTGATCTGGTTGGACAGAACCAATCATTGAATTTAGAAGATGAATTTGCCAATAGCATCTTCTGGAAGTGTTCTTTGAGTTATCTGATCTGGTTGGACAGAACCAATCATTGAATTTAGAAGATGAATTTTCCAATAGCATCTTCTGGAAGTGTTCTTTGAGTTATCTGATCTGGTTGGACAGAACCAATCATTGAATTTAGAAGATGAATTTGCCAATAGCATCTTCTGGAAGTGTTCTTTGAGTTATCTGATTTGGTTGGACAGAACCAATCATTGAATTTAGAAGATGAATTTGCCAATAGCATCTTCTGGAAGTGTTCTTTGAGTTATCTGATCTGGTTGGACAGAACCAATCATTGAATTTGGAAGATGAATTTGCTAATAGCATCTTCTGGAAGTGTTCTTTGAGTTATCTGATCTGGTTGGACAGAACCAATCATTGAATTTGGAAGATGAATTCGCTAATAGCATCTTCTGGAAGTGTTCTTGAGTTATCTGATCTGGTTTGGTGGAACCAATCATTAAATTTGAAAGACGAATTTGCTCATAGTAGAAATAAGGAGACTCAATAGCATTTTCTGGAAGTGTTCTTTGAGTTATCTGATCTGGTTTGGTAGGAACTACAGAACCAATCATTGGAATTAAAAGATGAACTGCATGATTGTTTTCATTAAGAAGCTTCTTTTCAAGCTTCTTTTGCTTATTCCTTTCCCAAAAAAATCATAGCCCAAGTTTCGCCTTTTCTTGTAATTGGGATCATTGCATAATGGCTTCCCATCATGTACCGGAAGAAATGTGTCAGTAACATTAGTCATGTGAGCAGCACATATAAAATTTGCCAATTCTGCAATTGATGAATCTGGACCACTTCTCTACATGGCTATTGAAGCTTCAGCCTTTGAGAATCCCATTTTGTCAAGTATAACAGTTTATTCTCCTCATCAGAATCAGAATTCAAGATTTCTCGGTATTAGAAGAACTATCGATATCTGTGAAATCATCTTGAAAGGTCACTTCATAATCAAATGAGTTGTTATCAGAATCAACATGTTACTTGAATACAAGCTTTTCAAGAGCCTATACTATTGAGTTTTATTCTCAAGAGGTTTTGTGACATAATATCTACATCTACATTTGTCAAAAATGATAGATTCTCTGATTTGAAGAAGAAAGATCTATTGGTTTTTTTATAATTAAAGAAATACTCAATTCACCAATCTGAAATCAAACAACTTAACATTCATGCATCATATTTAGGCATTTGCAAAAATAGATGCATTTTCATTCATTTTTATTCTTGTTGAATTTTTAACAGGAATTTCAAATATTTTAGCAAAGATTCAAATCTATCATTTGATGGATTGTCATTTCCAGAGAAAGTTCATAATGAGAAGAACTCATCTGAAGAAGGAAGAAGAAGTTCATAATGAGAAGAACTTGTTCAACCTTTTCTCAAATCCATCATTTGATGGATCAGCTTTTCCAGAGAAAGTTCATAATGAGAAGAACTCATCTGAAGAAGGAAGAAGAAGTTCATAATGAGAAGAACTTGTTCAACCTTTTACATGAATTCATCAATTGATGGATCAGTATTTCCAGAGAAGTTCATAATGAGAAGAACTCATCTGAAGAAGGAAGAAGAAATTCACAATGAGAAGAATTTGTTCAACCTTTTGCTCAAATCCATCACTTGATGGAGCAGCTTTTCCAGAGAAGTTCATAATGAGAAGAACTCATTTGAAGAAGGAAGAAGAAGTTCATAATAAGAAGAACTTGTTCAATAATTCTATCACAGAAGGAGATAGATTATCATCAGCCTTTCTGGAGAAAGTTCATAATGAGAAGAACTCATCAAGAGTTTATTCAACCTTTTGAATGACTCTATCACAGAAAGAAAGAGGTCAGCATCATCCCCAGCAGAAAGTTCATAATGAGAAGAACTCATCTGAAGAAATAGAAGAATTTATTCAATATCTCCATTATGATCAAGTGAAGCCAAATGGATAAAAAAAATTATTATCTTTTCATCTTTGCCCTATTCTTGTTAACACAAGAATGAGCAAGAGGGGCAGCTGAAGATACTAATTTTTTTACCCATATTATTATTATTATTATTATTATTATTATTATTATTATTACCATTATTATTATTATTATTAAATATATATTAAATACATATATAAATAATTAATTACAGGCCCAATTACAACTGGACCGGCCCAGTTACAAACAACCAGAACCGGCCCAGACCCAAAAGGAAACCCTAAACCAATTTAGGGTTTCAGTTAGGGTTTCCTAACCCTAATCCCATGCCAGCCGCCTCTAGCCAGCCGCCTCAGACTGACCGTTGGATCTGGCAAGATCCAACGGTCCAGATGGCTCCAGATGGAAACCCTAGGGTATGATACCCTAGGGCCACGCGGCCGCCGCTGCTGCTCTCGCCGCTCCGCCGCTGCCACGTCCCAACCGAAGGCTCCAGAAGCTCCAACGCCAGCCGTCCACGCCATGGCTACGGGGTGAGTCACCACTGGTAGTCCGGTGACTCACCGAAATCCCCTCTTCGGACCGGTCCGATGGCCACACCGGTGGTGGCTATAAAAGCCACCACCCGAACCTGAAAAAAAAAAGGAAGAAGACAGAGAACAGATCCCAGAGATACAAAACAAAAAATATATATATATACAAAATACTACCAACGATCTCAGCAGCAAAGAAACAAAAAAGAAAGAAAAAAGAAGAAAAGAAACTTACCGAGGAAGCCCCGACCACCGGATCTCACCGGAACCTTCAAAACACCGAAGGTACTTTTGTAGATTCGCTCGGATTAGGAGCTTTTTAAGGAAAAAGAACACCGGAAATGTCCTTAGGGCGTCCCGATCTATCTAATGGTATAAAAATAAAATTTTCCGGCCACCGGATGCGGTGACCGGCGATGACGGTCACGGCGGCAGACGGTTGCCGTCCGGTGACCGACTTCCCTCCGATGAGGGAATCTAGAGAGAGGTCAGAGCTCTCTCGGCTTGAGAGAGAAAGAAAAAATGAAATGAAGGCTGGCCCTTCGGGCCAGCCGGTTTTGACCTTATATAGGCCTTCCCGAACGGCGTCGTTTTGGGAAGGACTATGCGCGTAATTAGACAATAGTTAAACCCTGTCCGCCGTCCTCCTAACTTGTAAACTTTACATTTTAGTCACTAAATCGAATTTATAATATTTTTAATTCAGTCTTCGAATTTCAATTTTATTCATTTTAGTCCTTTATATTAAAATAATATATTTAGGATAAATAACAGATTTAATCCCTTAATTTTAATAAATATATTTAATCCTTAGTTTATATTTTTAATTTATTTTATTCTAATATCCAAATTTTAGATAATTTTATTTTAGTCACTAAATAAATAAAATAAAGAAATAGCATGTTTAATCCCTATAATTTTGATTAATTATAAATTAGATTTTAATTTTATTTTTACTGTAATTTAGTAATTTATTTATATGTTTCATTTGTTTTTCTGTTTTTTTAAAATATATTGTTTTAGTGGTATTTTTATTTTATTTGTTTATATTTTTAAATATTTTCATGTATTCATAAATATATATAATAAATAGTAATTTTTAAATATTTATTTTTAATATTGAAGAAAAGGACAGTCTTAATACAACTGGATGTCCTATTCTGATATTTTAAAATTAAAAATTAAACAATATTATTTAAATCAATATTTATCAATATCAAATAAAAGAGCTGTCTTAAGGCACCTAGAAGTTCTTTTCTGATATTTTTAAATAAATAAATATTTTTTTATATATAATTTTGAAATAATAGGATTATAAATTAAATATATTTTTAAAATTTTTAAAATTTTAATAATAGAGACAATTTATAATTAAAAAGTACCAATTTTGGGCGTTGTAGGGGTGCTAATCCTTCCCTAAACGTAACCGACCACGAATCCCTTTTTTATTAAAAAGAACGAATTTTTGGTTATAAACGCAGATCAGTTCATTTTTTATTAGTGTTTTCTTAAAACTCTTTTAAAAAATAATTTTTAGGTATTCGACCTACCTGACCCAAAAGGCCGATGGAGACTCTCAAATTATTTTTCAAAAAAAAAATTATTTACATCAATTTTCCAGCCAAATTTAAAATTTCGTGCCCGGACGAAAACCGGTTACGACAGGGAGAATGCAGATTTGCCAGCTAGGCAACCAAATCAATATGTTGATGACCAGAATCACTCGATTCGCGAGCATGTGGTACCAACTTTGGACGATTTGCATCCGGGTATTGCAAGGCCAATGATCAATGCTGCTAACTTTGAATTAAAGACTGTCATGTTTCAAATATTGTAATCTATGGGACAGTATGGATGAAGTGTTATTGAAGATCCTAGAGCCCATTTAAGAGCTTTTATAGAGGTTTATGATTCATTTATACAAAAAAAGATTTCTGGAAGAGGCTCTAAAGCTTAAACTATTTCCCTACTCGCTGCGTGACAAAGCACAAGGCTGGTTGATTTCGTTGTCGCATGGGACTATAGCATCATGGAATGAATTAGCCCAGAAATTCTTGTTGTATTTCAACCCACCGAACGTGAATGCTAAGCTGCGAAACAATCTGGCTTCATTAAAGCAAATGGAGGATGAAAGTTTGTATGAGGCTTGGAAGAGATTCAAAGAATTGCTGAAGAAATGTCCTATCCATAGATTTTCGCAATGGACTTAAATTGAGATGTTCTACAATGGCTTAAACATACACACTCTTATTGTTGTCGATGTTTCAGCAAATGGAGCTTTGCTAGATAAATCATACAATGAATTATATGAAATACTAGAAAGGATTTCAACTAATGATTGCCAATATCCGAATACGAGAAATATGTTTGTTCGTTGTAATGTTGCAGCAATCAATTCTGAAGTTTTCAGCTCTATGGCATCACAGATCTTAACCTTGATAGAAATGGTAAAAAAGCTTCAACGACCAAGAGGAATACATGAAGCCAAAGATACATCTCTCATTATTTGTGTCTATTGTGGTGAAGAGAACAACTTTGATGAATACCCTCAAAATCCAAAATATGTCTACTACGTGGGGAATTATCAAAGAAATGGCAATGCTTTTCGCAACAGGTACAATGCAAATTTCAGAAATCATCCAAATCTCTCTTGAAAAAATTAGAATGTTGTCAACCCACAACATTCACAGCAACAACAATATCAACAACATCGGTAGTATCATCCTTATAATCAATAGAACCTAATGCTACAGCAACAAGCACATTATCCTATAGTTCAACCATAGCAAAGACAAAATTATCAAGGTCAATCTTCAACTCAAACTTTTTTTTAATCACTTGAAACTTTAATTAAAAAATATATGGCTAGTCAATCTGCTTCATTAATAGCTGTAGAAAATCAAGTTGGACAGCTAGCAAATGCCTTAAGTAATAGACTACAAGGAACACTTCCCAGTGACACTGAAAATCCGAAGAACAATGGGAAAGAACATTGCAAAGCCATCACCACCAGAAGTAGAATACGGATTGGAAAGCCAGTGGGAGAACCTAAAACAAGATGAGGATGATCCAAAGCATGGTAAAGCAAAAAATTAAAGAAGTTGAGCCTGAGCCACCTATTGGTCTCTCTACAGCATCAGATGCAAGACAGTGTAGTAATTCAGAGCCATTGCCGATAGCGCCACCTGCTAAGTCTGGTGCTCTGTCAATTTCAATGTCACAGCCACAACAACATAAATTGCCTCCACCTTTTCCACAACGCTTTAAAAAGACAAAGGAGGAATAGTAGTACAAAGCCTTCATTGATGTACTTTGCCAACTTACCATCAACATTCCATTGATCGAGGCATTAGAGCAGAACCCAAACTATATCAAATTCATGAAGGAAGTGGTATCGAATAAGCAATGACTAAGTGGATTTAAAAATGTCGCTCTGACTGAAGGCTGTAGCGCCATGACTACAAGTCAATTGCCACCAAAACTTAAAGATCTAGGGAGTTTCACTATTCCCTACAATATTAGTGATACATTTGTAGGAAAAGCTTTATGTGATTTAGATGCTAGCATAAATATAATGTCTTTATCCATTTTTAGGAAATTTGGGAGCGGTGAAGCAAAGCCAACTACTGTCACGCTGCAGTTTGTTGATCGCTCCACTGTGCAACCGAGTGGCATTGTGGAAAATATGCTTGTGCAAATAGATAAGTTTATTTTTCCCACCGACTTCATCATTTTGGATTGTGAAACGGATAAGGAAGTTCCCGTCATTCTTGGATGCCCATTCCTTGCTACATGGCGAGCCTTAATCGATGTTGAAAAGGGAGAATTAACTATGCATTTAAATGATGAGCATGTTACCTTTAATGTGTTAAATAAGGTATCTTAGTTGAGTAATAATGTTGATTGTTTTCCACTTGATGTGAATGATATTTTTTTCCAGGAGCATCTTGACGAATACTACAACACTAAAGAAGCTATTGACGATGTTGTAGCAATTGAGGAGATTACAGACAATGAATGCTATAGCAATTATCTGCAGAAGTACGAATCTCTAGCTATGCATGAGTGTGTTCCAAGTGCACCAAAGCCCTCTGTCAAAGAGCCTCCAAAGCTGGAATTGAAACTGTTGCCAGAGCATTTGGAGTATCTATCTTGGAGATAATGAGACTTTGCCAGTCATTGTTGTTGCGTAGCTGACAGTAGCACAGAAGGAACAGTTGATCAGAGTGACACCTAACAAGAGTTTGGAAAATCCATGTGGGTAAGGCACATAGCCTCAAATCTGAAGGGTCTTCTATCCTTATCAACCATATAATCCAACTTAGTGTTCAACAAAATGGGATGGTGATCCTAGTGACACCTAACAAGAGTTTGGATGCACATGTTAGGAAAGGTTTCAGCCGCCTCAATATTATGTAACGCACAGTCGAGACGTTCTTGAAGAATAACGCGACCCCTAACATGTCTAGTCCAGGTAAACTTGTTCCCAGTCCAACCAGCATCTAAAAGTTTACATCTGTCCCATCTATCTCTGAACTCAAGAATACGATTCAAGCAATTAGAATTACTTTTATCCCTCTCATCCAACCCGATGATATCATTAAAGTCACCAACGACCATCCAAGGCTTATTGATGGTACCCAAATAGGTCCTCAAATCATTCCAGAATTCCATTTTCTTAGTTGCATGGGGTTGAACATAAGCAAAGGAGATCAACTATTGTTTACCATTGCTATCAATTTCGCGGTGTATAGCCTTCTCGGTATTGTAATTAATTGTAATATTAGTATTACTAGCATTCTAAAGAAGAATCAAGCCCCCCCTAAGACCATTAGCCGGAATTTCGAAGTGACTATCAAACTTGAACTTTCTCTGAATGACTAAACCAGTACCACTCTTAGCCTTTGTTTCTAAAAGCAACAGATATCAGGCTCCTCATCACGAATTTATTCCCGACCATTTCTGATGAAACCCTCATTTACCAACCCCTCTACAATTCCAAGAAAGAATTTTTATTTACAAAGATTTTCGTTTATTGTTCCCTAACTTACGGGGTTTAACTTTGGATTGCTCAGGAGCTACTTTTACTTTATCCATTAACACCTGTTCTGTATTAACCGTTGACTGTAGAAGCCCTACTTGACTGTGAATTAACTTCGGTCATGATTTCTTCTACCTAAACAGAAGACCCTGGGCACTCAATCGGAGGGGTTTCCTGGGATTCAATGGTGCTAGTTCTGACCTCTTGCCTAGTTTTAGAGATCGGTCGGTTTTGGTTATAGTTGAGGTTTTTCCTCAGCAGTTTTGTTTTCGTTTCCACGGTTTGCTTCTGGCTTTTGATTGGGATTGGTTCTTTCAATTTCTTTTTTATCTTTCGAGGTAGCACTGTGGGAGCTCCCTGTGTTTCCTTATCGCTTTGTTTTTTACTTTGAATTTGTTGGTTCTCTTCCAGTTCTTGAGACTGAGTGGTAATGTTCTCTTTGTGATCTGGCTGCATCCTGGTATCATCACTAAGACCTTCAAACCTGTTGCCCTGGCGGCTTTCCTTGGTAATATGTCGTTGGTTCTTGTTTTCCCCACGAGGACCTCTCTGTCTTCTTTGAACCATCATCCATGGTCCATATCTCTCATTATCCGTATTCGTTTTTTCGATCTTGTCTTCCTTCTGAGTAACATTTTCTAAAGCATCTTGAACCTCTTGGTCTGTTCTTTCATTGTTTCTTTCCTCAATGTTTGCATTAACCATCTAATTTAGAATGCATTGGCCAGTTTTATGTCCAACTGTACCACAATTAAAACAAATTATATGTAAACCCTCGTACTCAATGTTGAAGACTATGTTACCAACTAATTAGTGGCAAATTAGTGCGAAATGGCCTCTTGTCGACCAAGTAATACGGTAATCTATCTTTAACAGGTTTCCCACTAATTTGCCAATATTAACCAGGATTCCTTCATCAAAGTATTCCATTGGTAGCCCTGGAATGTGTATCCAAACTGCTCTTTTCCCACTAATTTGCCAATATTTACCAGGATTCCTTCATCAAAGTATTCCATTGGTAGCCCTGGAATGTGTATCCACACTGCTGAGGAGGAAATACCAGCTGACTCAGCAAAAAAAATTGGTTTCCACTTCTGGACAGTAAGATAATGGTCCATGATCCCCCAGTTAAGAACTTTCAGTTTATCGTTCATACTTTGCAATATCACCGCATAAAAACCGCTCCCGAGGTCTATGCAATCGAATTCGCTTTAAAGATACCATATATTTTTTATTCTGTTTATAAGAATTTTGTAAGCTATTGTTTTGTCCAGGAGTTTGATAATCAAAGCTTTCCTCCACGATTTCCTAATTCTGTCTTTCATGTCTGCAGCTATCTTGATCGTTGGTATCCCATCCTTTTCCATTTCATCCTCTTCATCTGAATCAGGGTCATCGACTTCTGCTCTTAAAGAATTTTGGAATACACCAGTAAAGATCGGAGAATCGGTAACGGTATTTTTCCAAGATCTTGCCTGATATTTTCCTCATTATTTTCATTCTCACTCAACTGACGAATGCGTTTGTTGCTTTTGTTTTCTCCGACCAGGTCTGCCGCTATTGTCACCTCGGTGACTGGTGGATCTTCCCCTTGCATTATCTCCAAAACGGCTGCAGTAACGTGAACGACGAGTATTGTAGGATCTTGATTTTCTTTAGGACTGTATTGAAACAATAAAATCTTGATTTACTACCACATACAAGTTTCTCATTATTTAGAGTTGTTCACGTGAACGACGAGTATTGTAGAATCTTGATTTACTTGTCTTCAATTTATTTTACAAAATTCATCGACTTCCTTAAATAAATATTTTTCTAAACGACATATAAAATACCACAAAAACGAAACCTGTCTTTTGGGTAAGAAGGTACAACACAAAGTGTTCAAAGATGTTGGATCCGATCCAATTATTAAAGCCCAATAAATTCGGATCTAGTAAAATAGATCGACTCATAAATATTAATTAGGTCTATAAATTCTACAGGCATAAGTATAAAATAAGTGTCCACACTATACCTATTTTCACGAATAGGTACCAACAGTATTTTTCGGCTCATCCACGTATCTAACGTTATAAACATTATTAATTTAGGTGCTAGGGTTGTCAACGACGCTAATTTCTTTTGTTAAGTGACACGTGTCACACTCTGAT